TTATTTTTTTCTAAAAAATTCCATAATAAGGAAAATATAAGATAATTTTGTGGGATTAATTTTTCTCCTAGGAGCTTTTTTGCGTGCCCATAAAAAAATCTGATACACAAATTTAAATTACTTTTTTTCGTGTACTTTATATCTATATATGTATATAAGCAAAATAAGAAGTAAAATCTTGATTTAAACTTTCAGCATTTGATTTCGATAGCGCCGTCACTTGCTTACGTTGTTCTTTTCACTCGATCCAATGCAATTTTTGCTGATACGAAGTTCGGTGGAAGACCTTTCAGTCTCTTGACGAGGATGAATGTGATGGAAAAACTTTGATTCTAACGGGAACACCACATAAAAACTTATCTATTTTCGAGCAATTATGTTTAATTGCAATAAAAAATGATAAGCTTTAATATATAAATGTGTTTAAATTCGAAACAATTTCGAACCTTAATAATGAATACTCGATATTTATAAGGAAAACTATTACTATTTAATGAACAAAACATAAATAACTATTAAATATATCTGCATTACATCCTTACTTGCCTATAGGTATCTTACTAGTTTTACTAGTTAAAGCTACATAATTAAAGTTTTAATATTTAAAAGAAGAGAAAAGAAAAAAAAGGGAAGTGTCGATCGATAAAAGCACGAGCGTGACGATTGGCGACGCTATTAAGATTTAATCGCGATTAATTATATAAATAGATCGATATTTCGTGATAACAACGTCAATGACTTGTTCTTGATAAAAATTGATTTCCACGTGTCTCTTCATGCATGTATCACGCGCTGGTTCTCTGCCTGGATCCGTCATAATTGAACGTAAGTCTTGAATAAACGGACATTTTGCGCTTGTCCAAATTTTTTCTTGCGCATCAGTTAGTCCCGCGCTGATTGATTTAATTAACTGTCACAGTAGTATGTACACATTTTAATACAAACGGATTTTTTATTCACCGCGAATTATCATTTCGTGATATTTTCAGGAATTTTTTACAGCAAGACCAGGAAGGAATAAACATTTCTTATAATTGTTAATATATGTGTATATATGTATTAATATCATTTTGTTTAAATTATAAACATTATATTATATAATAAGTTTGTCAGTATTGTTTTTTAATATTTAAACAATCTTATTTTTCCATATTTTTTAATATATATATAAATTGAGATAAATTGTAATATATAAATTATGCAATTAAATTTTTTTGTAAATCTTCCACCTCTTTTATGTTCAATTATTTCATTAAATATTTATGCACATTTAAAAAGGAAGACATTCTTTTTGTAAATAACACAAAAATAATTCTTTTTTTCTTGGTTTGGATAAGAAAATCGCGCTTTATTCATTTAATTATTTATTTTATGTGAAATTTAAAACACAGGCTTTTAAAACAATCAGATAACGTTCGCTGTAGTGCTTTTCCATAATTATTAATGGCTTTGCCATAACACAAGGCTTCATTTATGACATGATAATTAGTAGAATAGAACATTATTGGAATAGATCGCTTATTTCGCGCAAACTAAAAGAAGAATGTGAGATGGTGTCAATTGCCGATCGTCTTGTTTTTATAATTAGAGTGATCAATTTTGACGAGTGTGCACGTAATTCTCGCAGATTTTTGCAATACTAACTGCACTAAAATTTCGCACTAGCTTCCGTGATTATTTATAATTCAGATTTGTAATATCAAATTATACATTTCATGTTTTTGCGTCTTCTGTCATCTCCATTTACAAATGTACGTTACATACAGTGTGTCACTTTTAACGTCATCTCTAAAATATCTCTGTTATTTTTAAAGAAAGAATTTTCAAGAAAAAATTCTTCCCTTCAATGCTCGATGTAGAAAAATAAATATTTTACATATAATAAATATTATATAAATATTATATAACATATTTTCGTTGTTTGCCATAACATGATATTAATAAAAATAAAGGATTTTTTTATTGGTAATAGCAACGGTAACTTCAAAATCTAAAAAAAAATATGGTTTTGAACTAAATACTTTATTAAATATAATATTGATTCGTTCAAACCGCATAACTTCTTTCTAAAAAGTTTCAAACGGAAAAAGATATTTCGGTGATTACGTCGAGTGAATACTCTGTTTAATATAATGACTTTATTCAACTATATGAGAGACTCAAAAGAACTAACAAAGATAAAAAAAATAACTTATTTGTATCTTTAAAAGCAATTTAATTTTTTAGATGTTTTATTCTGTTCGTGGATATTAAATTTATATATGAAGGGATGGAAAAGGAGATATTAAAAATGAGTAAATAATATATTAAAATATAAATAATAAATGTAAGTAAATAACTGCATAAATCATCACTAATAAATAAAATATAATAATTTTAAAAACGTGCCTGTAGAATTTATCCATATTTTGAACAAAATTATTTAAAACTTTATGCGACATTTTTACGATTATTTTTGTTTCTCGATTAACTTTTTCATTTCAACTTGTTATATCGGCAGATTGCGCAAACAAAGAGCCTTTGATCTCGGTGCCTTTTTCTCGGTGAATGAAAGTCGTCTGATTTTGTTTCGACGCTCACGTCCACGTGCAAGTTACAATTTGCATACTACAAGACCACGAAAACACGTGCAACGTGCAATTGTGATGTTGCAGCTCATGTATATGCACATTACACATATATAGAATGCGAAAACAATTCTCTTAACTTTCTATAGCTTTTTCGATCAATTCTTATTGTTATAATTTTTGATCCGGGTTTTATATTACTAGCAATTTTTTTATTATATATTACTTAAAAAATATGCAATTTTTAAGAGAAACATTACAAAGAAGTTATAATCGCATATATTTTCCGAATTTTTCATACTGTAATACTTTGCTACTAAATAAAAATTTAGTTAAAACAAAGAAAAATAATAAATTGAAAAATATATAACTGTCTCTCTTTAGTTTCTCTTTTCGAATTTATAAATTTCATATTTTTAATTAATAATAACAACATAGAATATACGAGTAAAGTTTTAGATTTTTTGTTGAGGAAATACTAAGAAACACACGATAGTGTTTTATGTTAAGTGCACGCGTAAGTGACTCATGAAGATGAGACGCGTACTTATACTTTTGCAATCCATCTCGCTAAAACTCCGTCGTGGTACCTTGAGTAAAGCTAATGTCAGTGGTATTCAAACTTTGAAGATTTAGAACTACTTAGGAAGTTTTTAATGAAAAGATTCATAACCATTGTTCCTAAAACGCCACAACAATAGCTACAAGAATAAAAGAAGCTTTGAAAATGAGAGAGAGAAAGAGAGAGAGAGAGAGAGAGAGAGAGAGAGAGAGAGAGAAAGATTATTCCAAGATTTCTTCTTTCTCTCTCTCTCTCTCTCTCTCTCTCTCTCTCTCTCTCTCACTACTTTTTTGATTATACAAAATTAAACAACTTTTATTTAGAATATCTTTTCTATAATAATAATAATATCTAATAATAATAATGATGATGATGATGACGATGATGATAATGATAATAATAACTGTAATAAAATAATAACAACAACAGTAATAATAATAATATTGTCTGGAATACTACATTCCTTTAGACATGTTGGACATATATTTACACATATATTTTAAAATAGAAATATATTAATTCTAAAGGGGATGATATTATATAAATATAAATTGGAAGTGTGAAGCAAAATGTTCTGCTCTCTTCTTTCCAAAAATAATTTTAGAGATTAAAAAATTCATAAAATATTGATGAGGTTTTAAATTTACAGAGGAGTGTTTGTCGACAAAACGATTGTCAATGGTTCAATTTGTTTACAATTGCGTTGCCTAGAATTCAGTTGTGTAGTCGGCAGCTCTAATTGCATACTGAGAGATAGACTACAAGCGTTATTATGCATAAGTAATAGTTCGGGATACGGATTTGTGGGTAAGCCGCAACGTATTATAATTTTACTGCACGTGCATACAACCACACATAAAATAATTAAATTAGGTTAATAGTTCGTATACGTATGTATCACTAATAACATAGTTGCGTGTTGCTAAAATTTCGAGTGTTGTGAAAATTTCTCGAGCATTTTATGCACGCTATTCTATTTTAATTCGCGTAGAAAGTTGCAAACCTATCTGGAATCGAAAATGTAAATACTGTAAATAGTATGCTTAATCAATTTCTACAGGTTTAGATAAATTTGCAATTTTCCATGCAAAATGAATGGGTATACCTTAGAGAGGGTTTGCATAACGAGGCTGCCCGCTGCCGTTGTCTTCAATGCGAAACGTGGTCTATAATTGTATGGTGCCAGTGGGATTTTCAACATTCCATGCTCGGAGAATCCAGATGTCAGGTTCACCTACTTTCCATGTGTGCACACAAGATCTAGCACCTTCAATCCTTTCTAAAACAACATGTCTGTAACTCTATTAACGTATAATTAAAATATACAGCCGTATCACACATAAATGAGTCCTTTCCTCTCTCTCTCTCTCTCTCTTTCTCTCTATCTCTTTCTTTATTCTTTGCCCATCTGGAGATCGGGCTTGTAGTCTTTTGTCAACGATGATCGCAATTAAAATAAATATAATAGTTAATTTGATAGATTTTTACTTTTAAGAAGCGTTATTTTTATGCTCAATTATTTATAGAGTCAAGAGAGGATTTTTACTTTACAAATGTTTGTTTGCATATAAGAAAACATCAAGCAAATACAATTTTTATCAAAATCCAA